AGTATAGAAAAGGAGCAAATCTTTATCTGTAGGCAATAAGTATGATGTGGTAGGATTAAGGAAGACCTGAATAAAAGTATAATTGTCTTGGTTCTGTAACGTTTAGTAGCATTTAGAGATGTGCCAAAGTTAGGCATCAGCCTCAATATTCAACCAAAATCAGCTATTAGACTTAAAATTGCAGAATGCTTACTTGAACATCAGAAACTGTGCACGATCAAAGATCATGTGGTTGTGTAAATTACCATCAATCAAATCAATGTAACATTAATTGTATAAAGGTGGGTCCATTTGGATTAATATATGAATACTCAGTTTCAAATACAGATCAGCACTCTAGGGCTTCCCTGGTGGCGTAGTGGTTGAGAGCCCGCCTGCTGATGCAGGGGACGTGGGTTCATGCCCCGGTCCGGGAAGATCCCACATGCTGCGGAGCGGCTGGGCCTTTGAGCCATGGCCGCTGAGCCTGCGCGTCCGGAGCCTGTGCCCCGCAACAGGAGGGGCCACAACAGTGAGAGGCCCGCGTACCGCAAAAAAAAGAAAAAGAATAAATGCTGCAATAATTAATGTCTGTGAAAGCTGTTAATTTTATGAACAAAAATAACTTAAAATTTACAAAGGCAAAATGAACACAGAAATAGGTTAATATAGTGCATTAGATAACTTTAGGAAGAATATTATGCCCTTTCAAAACTAGCAAGTGTTTATAATTAATTAATGCATGCAAAGTTGGACAAAAATTCTAATCTTTTTCAAGTTTTTATATAATAGTATTAGATAATGAATTAAAAGCAGAATGTCAACTTTGTCAGCTCAAAATTTTATGCATCAGGAAAAGTTTAACACCCATTAAAAATCACTTTTCATCCAGAGATAAAGAATATAGAGTATGAAGGAAAAACATATTTTATAGACAATAAGAAAGCCTGAAAAAAAATGTGTTCCCCCTCCAACATCAACTGAAAACAACCATCTATTTAGTACTGCAAACCAGCAATGAGTATAGTGACTACTGGAATAATCTAGCAGCTGACAATGTGGCACTAAACCAAATCTTGTATCCCAGAAATTCGTTCTATAATGGTGATATCCAGTTTTGGCCGCAATGATTTTCAAGAACGGTTAGGTAGCCCAGACCGACTGGAGCACACAATATTTAAAAGGATTAGAATGAAGCTATATATATATGTTGAAAGCCAGACTAAGAAAGACCTGCAAAGAATATGGACTTCATCTGGCAAAGGAAGGCACTAAAAAAAGCAGTGTACATAAAGACTTCTTTCAATAATTCCAGAGTATTACTATGACTACAAAGACATACAAATCACATATTGAAAGCAAAAGATATTAAGGTGAGATGGCTAAAACCTAAAAGGTGAAATGTTTACATTCTGGGTAGGCCACTTACGTGACAGGTCATCTTTCTGTTTTTCAATTTTCTCATCTGTAAAATGGGCTTAAGATAATAGTACACTTAATTGACTAGATTACTGTGAAAATTAAGGGAAATCATTATGTAAACTGCTTAGGGCTGATCTTCTACATAGAAACTCTTTCATATACAGTAGCTCTCTTCCTATCAGAATTGAGTATCAGTCACAATAACCCATGGTCCTGTGGGCTAAGGGAACAAAATGTTTTGAAATTCTGCAAGAATTCTAGGATTACAGCAAAGCACCAATAGGCATAAAATCCTGCTTTAAGAAACTATGTAAAACTGACAGGAAAAATGTGTGTGGGGGGTGTTGGGAGAGATCATCTGAAAATATTAAAGCAGAACTGAAATGTTCTTACTTAGGAAAATCCAGAAATCCTTCCCAAGATCTCATAGCTTGCTCGGACATGAAATATTTATTAAACTGCCTACTTGTTCAAGATATATAATCTTTCTGGCTTCTAAGAATATTTTATTATGGGCTAGCTTAGAAATTGAAAATTTTTTTTCATGAGGGAGGCACAGGGAAGGTCTGTTTACCTTCTGTGAAAATGGAATGAGGTTTACAAATTTTGAGGCTTTTTAAAAAATTAAAGTTCTAGTTAGTGAAAAGTGCTAACTAATGAGGTCTTTCAGGGAGGGTATTGTTAGAGTTACACCCATCTATCTATTCTCATAATATAACACAGGAATATCCTCCCCTGCTCCCAGCTCAATCTGTCTAGCTGATAGATCCTTCAGGATCCATTCCCTGATAACTCTGAGAAAAACCTCCGTAACCCATTCCCAGATTTCTTCAATCCCACCATCTTCCAATCTAATTAAACACTTCTATATATTCCAAAAGCACCCTGCATTTCTTCTTTTTTTTAATATATTTGTTTGTTTATTTATTTATTTATGGCTGCATTGGGTCTTCATTGCTGTGTGCGGGCTTTCTCTAGTTGCAGTGAGCAGGGGCTACTCTTCGTTGCTGTGCACGGGCTTCTCATCGCGGTGGCTTCTCTTGTAGCAGAGCACGGGCTCCAGGCACGGGGGCTTCAGTAGTTGTGGCACGTGGGCTCAGTAGTTGTGGTTCACAGGCTCTAGAGCGCAGGATCAGTAGTTGTGGCACACGGGCTTTGTTGCTCTGTGGCATGTGGGATCTTCCTGGATCAGGGCTCGAACCAATGTCCCTTGCACTGGCAGGCAGATTCTTAACCACTGCGCCACCAGGGAAGTCCCCTGCATTTCTTCTTTCAGAGCTTTTATTACACTGATTATAATGGCCTATTTACCTCCCAGTCTTTCCCTCTAGACTTTAACCACTGGAGGACAAGGCTCATATTTCATCTTTGTTATCTTAGTACCTGACATGCAACAGATATTCTTGAAAATGTTAGTTGTAAGAATGGCTAATGCGTGTGAAAACACATCAGAAAGCACACAGTGCAGTACAAATAGTTGATTAGTACTTTTATCCACTGGCTTCTTTGAGTTCACTTCTGTCTGAATTCTCAGATAATTCTTAATTTTTTTTGGCCGCGCTGCACAGTATACGGGACCTTAGTTCTCCAACAAGGGATCAAACCTCGCCCCCTACACTGGAAGCATGGAGTCTTAACCACTGGACTGCTAGGGAAGTCCCTCAGATAATTCTTTAGGCATGACTATCCATAATACTATTTAGCAGATGATCACAGATTTGAGAAAGCCTGTTTTTTTTTTTTTTGCGGTACGTGGGCCTCTCACTGCTGTGGCCTCTCCCGCTGCGGAGCACAGGCTCCGGACGCACAGGCTCAGCGGCCATGGCTCACGAGCCCAGCCGCTCCGCGGCACGTGGGATCCTCCCAGACCGGGGCACGAACCCGTGTCCCCTGCATCGGCAGGCGGACTCTCAACCACTGCGCCACCAGGGAAGCCCAAGCCTGTTTTTTTAAATCAAGTAAAAGAAAAATTAGCAACACTTATGCCCATTGACTCCTCCCGACCCCAGAAAACAGGAAACAAAAGAAATCAATGTACTCAGTTTCTTGTAGAAAAAGGAATTATAAAAGGAATTTTAAATTTATATGCAGAGTGACAGTTAAGGAAAACGCTGATAAACTTCAACTAGATGGAAAAACAAATGCCACTGAATCTCTCCAATCAAATATGAAAAAGGATTTTTTAAAAACAAAGATTCAATTAACACAAGCAAATATAATGTGAGGAAATGACAATTAAGAGGGATCAGAACAGGGACTTCCCTGTTGGTGCAGTGGTTAAGAATCCGCCTGCCAGTTCAGGCTGGTTCGATAACTGGTGGGGAAGATCCCACATGCCGAAGAGCAACTAAGCCCGTGCACCACAACTACTGAGCCTGCGCTCTAGAGCCCGTG